AATTTGTTATGGACAGGTATGCTTGTTAGCAAAAATTGAATTAGGAGCTAAAATATTTAATTTAGCTTTAATTCAATAGTATGATTTTAAATCTAAGAAAAATCTATTTTATTATGGATGTCCTAGGCTTCAATTGACTGAATTATATAATATAATTATAATCGTGGTAGAAAATCGACATGTTACTCAGAACCGTCAAATGATTCGGATTCCTAATATTGATAGGCTAAAAATGGATAGACGACTCATATCAAGTTGGAAGCAAGTTTGAAACTTTGGATACATAGTTTTCAGCAAACGGATTAGAACCCTTAGATACTGATGAATTTCCTGAGCTTGATGTAGTTTCAATGGGCAAATTTATTTCTTTACGAAATGCTGGTGTTCAACAAAACTTAACCTGACTACTAAATATTACAAATGAAACACCCAACCAAGAAACTGAACAAGGTTTAAAGAAAAATGATGGCTGTCATTGTAATAAACCAAATTGTGAAAGTAGGAGTTGTCATATAACAAATTGTGAAAGCAGGAGTTGTCATAAAACAAATTGTAAAGTAGGAGTTGTCTTGTCGTAAGAACAATACTCTTTATACTTTTCGTTGTGGTTGTATTCGCCGAGGTACCATATAGCGCTCAGCAGTTGTTTAATCTTCAACTTGTGGATTTTAACAGCGTAATGGAAGTAAATACAATTATTAATAAAAATAATTTGATTTACGTTGCGAATTTTTTTTAATATAAATCATATCGATACCGATTAAAATATGAAGTACTTTAATTTACAATTTCGAAGCTACGTACGTACGTACGTACGTCAATTTTTAATTGACGGAAATTTGAAAGTGACTGCGGAAATTCAATCCACTTAATTTAATTTATTTTACGCCTCATGCACGCACTTTCCTTTTTATGTTAATCCTGTATACAAGCCACAGATCCAAAAATAAAAAAGTCTAACGCATTTAAAAAATATATATAAGTTACGTAATTACTGTGCACTTTGTCATAATTGATCATCAACTGCGTATGTACGTACGTGCGTATGTACGTACGTACGTACGTGCAATATTCGTCTTTGAAGCGGATAAATAGAACATTAAATTCTTGATCTAATATTAATTAAAAACATCAATTTCGAATTATTTTACATTATCTTGAAAAAAAAGAGGAAATGGAAACTAAAAAACTACTGGTAAGCTGATAATTTTTATTGAATTTAAGAAAACATTCTAGTCTTATTATCCCTTTTAACACCAAATTCGTACAAAGTGACTTTTAAAATTCGTACAAAGTGACTTTACAAAAGGACATTGTTATTTAGATTAATTAAATCGCAATATCTTGTGATCTAGTAAACCAATTTGGATGATTTTGATACCATTCGAATCCTCTCAATGAGACAATTCGAATGGTATCAAAATCATCCAAATCAGATTACAAGATCACGAGATATTACAATTCAATTAATCAAAATTACAATGTCCTTTTGTACGAATTTGAAAGTCACCCTGTACGAATTTAAAAGTCAATTTGTACGAATTTAAAAGTCACTTTGTACGAATTTGGTGTTAAAAGGGATAATTTATATATTAGTGTTCTTAATTTTTTAATCTTTTTTTTACGGTTTTTTAATTGTTACAGTTAGTCGGCCTTGGTAATTATTCACATTCACAAACTAGACATAGCATAGGAATGTTGGTATTAGATTATATAGCATCACACCTAAATTTGACATGGTCAAAAAATAAAAGTTGGCCTGCTACCGTTACTACTACAACAGCCATATACGTTGATCCTCCTAAACGACCTAAAATAAATCAAAAAAATGAAGCTGGAACAAACATGAAGAAACAAGATAAAAACATTATAAATCCTAATGATGAGAATGGTGATATTGATGATAAAAGTGCTTTGGAGAACGGAGTCCAAAAGCTTTTAGATGATAATGTTCAATCAGAAGAAAATAATATAAGTGTGACTTGTACGCACTCTCAGCAGACAACTTTACCTAAGCCTAGATATAGGCCAAAACCTGATCCAGTACCTTTGGAGATAACATTGATGAAGCCATTGTTACTGATGAATGTTAGTGGAAAATCAGTTTTCAAAGCAAGTATGTTATATATTTTTTTAAATAATTAAATTTATTTAAAGAACTTTTTTTTTTAATCATTACACGTTTTAATCGAACTATAGTTAGAGAATTAAAATTGTCACCAGCTGACATTATTGTAGTGCATGATGATATGCAACGCGAATTAGGTAAAATTAGTTTGAAGGAGGGTGGAAGTGCAAAGTAAGTAACTATTGTAATGTAATAATGATTGAGATCATTATTTATTTATCGTTAATGTTTTAACTTCTCTAGTGGTCATAATGGAATCAAATCGGTAATTGATGCATTGAAAACCAATGTGGGTACTTTAATTATTTCCTAGTGTCTCATTTACTTTTGATATTAACATTAATCTACTCTCATCTTAGCAATTTCGTCGAATGAGGATTGGTATTGGTAGACCGCCAAAAGAGATTGATGATAGATCTCATGATGTTATTTCTAGTTACGTACTGGCACGAATAACTAATAGTGAGATGGAATTTTATACAAAAGAAGTATTTCCAAAATGTAAAGAACAATTACTTAAAATTTAGATAGATTTAGAAAGCTCTTAAATTCTTTAATTACTAGATTTTGATAGAATTTCTAATTTAATAAAAAAAGAAAAGTCTAATGTTCAATTTTCATAACAGATTATTCTAATTTTTTTTTTATTTATCGTATCGACGCGTTCTACAAAATATCGATCATTTTATCAATTATCAATATTCTAAATATAATCAATGCTTGAGTAGAATATTTAGTGCACTATGAGATCCTGATGTTGGCATTAGTTACATTTGTAAATTTTAAGATGGTAAATTATTACATATATTTGCTGATAAAATTTCTATTCGGGTACAATATCTAGTAAATTTTAGTATATAGTCTTCGTCGCGTATTATCAAAAAAATCTTTACTAATTTTATGCCCCAAGACGTTTGAAATCTATACTATGTCCGTGTTAGAATGCTTTCAGTTTTGAAATTGATTTTTTTTTTTTTCCTTCTTCATCTCTTGGTCTTCGAAAAATTATCACAAATATTTCGCCAACTTATGATGACATTCGTTCGTCAGATTTTGTACTTTGTTTATGATTCTTCGCGTAGATCTTATTAATAAACCTGTTCCATTTATTATTTATGGACCCCTCTACAGTAACGCACTGCAATTTGTCATTTCTTGCATCTCCTGATGTTTTCGGAGCTATTGAAATCCTATTCAAACACTTCATCTTATAGATAATAAATGTACGTATGCCAGGGTCTAACGATATGATCTTTTCTTTCTTGGTTTCGCTCTTTCTAGTAGGATAAAATTTTTTTTTTATAATTTTAAATTCATTATTTGTTATCTACGGGTAAAGGTTATTATTTTGAAACTATAACTTATATATCTGTTGTGCCTCAGACTAACGCTTACCTAGGATCGCAGCTGACGCACCTTAGGTGTAGATTGTATAGAATAAAAAGTATTATTGAAGTTGAACGTGCTGAGAAGACTTAAACGGGAAGAGTATGAAGTGAAAATTTAGGCAAAAAAAAAAAACTGTACGTATAGAAAAAAAAGTTACATATTAATTGGAAATAGAATGTGCCACGAAAATTCGGGCAAAAAAATTTAAAGAAAAGAATGGAGGTGCTGAAGAGGCTTAATGTAAAAAATGCCACCGGAAGTAAGACGACGCCAAAATGATTCAAAGATATAGAATGTTACTGGAGTTAAAAAAGACGCCAGAGTGATTTAAAGTAAAGAATGTTACCAGTAAGAAAAATGCCGAAGAGATTCAAGAAAGCAAGAATAAAAAAAATGCCCAAGTCAAAAGTCTTTTATTCAATTTATTTTACTCTCTTACTTTCGTTAGATTGCAGTTTAGATGATAGATCAATAGTCTATGCACCTCACGGAGGTGCGTCAGCTGTGATTTGAGGCAAGCATTAGTCTGAGGCACAACATATCTATATCAATCTTTTGCATCCTTTGATTTTTGTTGTCAAAGTGATTCGCAAGGACCTAAATTGTAAAAATTCATTATAGTATTATTATTGATTGATTATTTACGGAATTTGGAATTATGACTTTTTCTTTTTTTTTGATTTTTCTTATCCGCCCTGAACGCGTTATAAAGATCCTGTATAGCCAAATCTCTTAACACATATGGAGTTTCGGTAATCAGTATCCCTTTAGACACCAAATTCGTACAAAGTGACTTTTAAATTCGTATGTACAAGATGACTTTAAATTCGTACAAAGTGACTTTCAAATTCGTACAAAAGGATAATTAATTAAAGCGCAATATCTCGTGATCTTGTGATCCAATTTTGATGATTTTGGTACCATTCGAATCACTTCAGTGAGAGAATTTGAATGGTATCAAATCAATCAAATCGGGCAACTAGATCACGAGATATTGCGATTTAAGTAATCTAAATTGCATTGTCCTTTTGTACGAATTTGAAAGTCACTTTGTACGAATTTAAAAGTCACTTTGTACGAATTTGGTGTTAAAGGGGATATAACTTGTGTTGAGGTGATTCTCATTGTTTGCTACTTTTTCTCTCTCGGCAATGACTTTATTAACCAAAATATTTTCGGACCTTTCATAAAAATCTAAACATCAATTACACGTCTAATGAGTGGCACCCATCCAATTTAACAAAAGATTTTTTTTTGTTCTTGATCGAAAACATTCTTATTTTCTTTTGTTTTCGAAGTTCACGGTGAACCATTAGGTAGAAATAATGTCAGCATTCAGAGTAGAGTGAAGTGCATGTCTCTAAAAGATCAAAGTTATTTGAAATAGACATCCATAGATTTGGGAAATAACGTGTTTTTCTAAAAATCCAGAATGGATTTCTGTTTTCGTTTTATATTATGGCTGTTTCGTTTTCTTTTGCCCATACGAGTTTCAAAGGTATCACAATCTAAACTAGACTTTATAGTTTTAAAAATGACACTATTAGTGACCAGAATTATGCGATTTCAGGGGTTGTCATTGTTCAATAAAACAATGAAAAGTTTCTGAAATCGTATAAGTCTGGACACTCTATAGTATATAATACATTTACTTACTCATAATCATTGTATTGTTATCGTTCATTTATTGTCTAAACAATGACATCAATGATTACATTAAACATTATCAATATCTAATCAGTTTTATTACCTAATCACCTAAGAAATAAATTTTTGTTAATAATTTTTTGATAAGTTTAGAACCAACTTTACGCGTTGATTAAAAACCTAACAAATTTACTTATAAGCTGATAAAATCCGCTTGCAAATCCAAATAAAAAATCATTCGTTAAACCTTTCTTGATAAATAATCGTGTACATAACATAAAAAATCATTCGTTAAACCTCTCTTGATTAATAATCGTGTACATAACTTGTATCTCAAATGCATCTCAGAGCGTGTTGTAATCTTGAAACTATTTTCGAGAACGCAAGTGATGATGAAATTTCAACTACTATTCAAAGTCAATCTGAAATTAATCTTATTGCTACGGTTGATTCCATTAATTTATTCGATGAAAATCGCAGTGCGATTTCGTCAATTAAACAATACCAGAGAAACATCACGCCCAGACGATCAAATTCACATCTCGAAACGACTCGCAAAACTAGAGTGATAGAGGGTAGACGTAATGCTATTATTAATCCCAACCTATCACTTCCAATATTTCAAACAGACACAAATTATCCTGACAAAGAATTCATGAACCGGCGGTACGCTACCGACTGCATAAGTCCCACAATTTCTTCAACACATTCCAATACTTCAAATAATTTAGTTATAAATTCTTTTCATAATTTTAGTCTACCTACTTTATCCGATCTTTATTATGAAAACGATGTTAAAAAAATACAAAGCTGTCCTTTACTTATTTCCTTCAAAGTGCATATTCATTGGATCTATCCTTCTACGCCCATAGTAATTAAATTATTTAGAGATATTTCTTTACGAAAATTTAGAAAAATTGTGGCAAAAAGTTGTGGAATCAAGGTACCAAAAGATAGTGTCATTATTTGGCATAGAAATTTAAATTGTGATGGAATAAGTGTTGGAGAAGAAAATAATGATAAAGTAGTTTTAAAACACTTGTTAAAATCTGGAAAAGTCAGTAGCATTAAAACTGATGCTAGGTGGAAATGTTTGAAATCGTTTTGGTGTAATGATGTGGAAGTTTCTATTGTTAAAAAGGAATTATTGGAATAATGTTTTTTTAATAGTCGTCGTAAATATAAACTGAAATTATGTATCAATTATATTAGCTCGTAAAATATTAGTGATTATTTTTTTTTAAAAAAAAATAATCCGTATATATACATATATATTTTCTTGTTGTTTATATCAAAATAAAAATTTGTTTAAAATGTCACGGAATAACTAATTTACTTACTGTTTATTTCTTGCTATTATGTACATTACTAACTATGCGTTTATTTCTCCACATTCGCATTGCCTTTATAGCTTTGTAAATATTACATTTTTACGATCTTTTTTTTTTTTTGGATCCCTATAGCCATGCGATCATATGTAGAAAAAAAAAGAGTGATTAAGTCGTTTTATTTGCATATTTTTATATCGTAAACTAGGTTCAAATGAACCAAATTTAGGTTCATCGGAACCTAAATCAGGTTGAAGTTGCACCTAAGATGATTAACTTGTATTTATTATTTTATTTTATTTTCTTAAACAGAATTTATTTCGACTAATCATTTTAACTCTTATTAGTGATTGCGCATATACCTTTGAATTGGTAACTCATTAAGCTTTTACTTATCTTTCTCCTACATATACCGGAGTTTCTTGTCAGAATCTGGATTATCTATATAATTGTTAGCATCATGTCTTTTCGATGTGTTGACTTACTGTTAACTTGAACGACATATACTTTTTAATTTTTAATTTTTTTTTTTACTTTGTTAATTGTTTAATTTTGGGGGGAAACCCACAAGTGGAGAGGGGAATAACGTTAAACGAGGTTTTAATTTCAAGTCGCCTTACTATGGATTTTTTCACAAGGTTATTCGGCCGGTCTATAACAGCCCTAGTCACTCAAAAAAAAATGAACTGGATTATTTTGCTGACTTACATGTAATTTCGGATACTTATTGTTATACGACGGCATAAGCTGTAATAATTTCTACTGCATCTATACTTTGTACATAAAAAAATAAGAGGCAGTGTATGAAATATTCAACGGCCGATCAAGATCTTTTACTCAATTAAATTAATAATGGTTAGAATTAATTCCAAAAATCGATTAATAAAAAAAAAAAAAAATTTAAAAGTACTCTCCTGTTCTGAATCTCAGAATTTTTATTCACAAAATTCCTGATAAAATGCTTGCTTTTTAAGTTCGCCAATAATAATTTTCTGTTATTATATAAACGTTTTAGTTTTAGTGTGCCTACTTAACAAAGATGAACAGCACTATGCGATGATGTTAGTTATTTATAAATAGGGATGTTAATAGTTCAGTTTTAGACTATTAAACTATAGGTTAAAACTAAATAACTATAAAACTAAACTATTATA